TGTTTTTTTCCTTCTTTCTTGTCTTCTTAATGACATTTTGCTTTCTCGTATGATGTTGTTTATGTCATCTCTTAACTCTTCTACTCTTTGGTAATTAGTGTCTAATTCATTAAATTTATTCTTGAGATGATCTCTAAATTTAGGTGAGAATACGTTAATCAAATTTTGGCTCTGGTAGACTTGTTTTACTTTTCTTCAGCTTCAGCCTGAACTTGCATATGAGCAATTGATGGTCTGTTCCACAGTCTGCCTGTTCTGACTGCTGATATTGAGTTTTCCACTACCTCTTTCTACAAATGTAGTTAATTTGATTCTGTGTATTCCATCAGATGAGGTCCATGTGTACAATTGTCTTTTATGTTGTTTAAAAAGGTATTTGCAATGAAGAAGTCAATGGTCTTGCAAAATTCTATCATGTAATTTTCAGCATCATTTCTATCATCAAGGCCATAGTTTTCGACTACTGAGTCTTCCTGTGTTTCGAACCTTCACATTCCAATCTCCAGTAATTATCAATATATCTTGATTGCATATTTGGTCAATTTCAGACTGAAGAGTCTGACAGAATTCTTCAATTTCATCATCACTGACTTTAGTAGTTGGCACGTAAATTTGAATGATAGTGGTTTTAACTGGTCTTCCTCGTATTGATATCCAATCACAGACAACATTGTACTTCAAGAAACACCTTGAAATATTCTTTTTTATGATGAACGCAACACAGATCGTCTTGAATTCGTTGTTCCCAGCATAATAAACCATATGATTGTCAGATTCAAAATGGCCAATACCAGTCCATTTCTACTCACTACAACCTAAGTTTATACATTGCATTTCATTTTTTGACAACCTCCCATTTTACTAGATTCATACTTCATGCATTCATATGCTGACTATTAATGGATGTTTGCAGCTGTTTCTCCTCATTTTGAGTTGTGCCCGTTAGCAAATGAAGGTCCTGAAAGCAAAGCTTTCAGGAATGCATCATCACAGCCAACTCTACTTTTAGAAGGCACCTCTTCCCCAGTCATATTTTGAGTGCCTTACAACCTAAGGAGTTCATCTTTTGGCACTGTACCTGACAATATTCTGGTGCTATTCACAATGTTTCAGTATTCAATATTCTGGTGCTAACAATGTTTTGCTGTTATTCATAAGGTTTCAATGGCTAAACATTCAGATGTATTTTGCCTCTCCATCTTCCTAGGCTGTCTTAGTCTGGAAGGTCAGCTGAAACCTGACCACCATAGGTGACCCTGCTGGTATGTAAAATATTGGTGGCATAGATTCCAGCATCACAGAGACATGTAAACTGACAGATGAGTGGTGGAGATTATATATATATATATATAATGAGTGGTGGAGATTATATATATATATATATATACACACATACACACATATGTGTGTGTGTATGTATATATATATATGTTGTTGTTATGTGCCATGGAGTCGGTTCCGACTCATAGCGACCCTGTACTGGGTTTCCGAGGCTGTAAATCTTTACGGGAGCAGAAAGCCTCATCTTTCTCCCAAGGAACAGTTGGTAGTTTCGAACTGCTGACTCGAGGTTCGCAGCCCTATTCGTAACCACTATGCTACCAGAGCTCCATATATATATATGTGTGTGTGTGTGTGTGTATATATAGTTAAGTGCCTTTGAGTAGGTTCTGACTCATAGTGACCCAATATAGGGCTTCTGAGGAGTGACTGGTGAGTTTGAACTTCTGACCTTGTGGCTCAAACCAACCTTACAGTCCTGGGCTTATCCTGCAGCGCCACACCAGAAGTAGTAGTGGTATATGTCGTGGAATCAGTTCTAACTCATAACGACCCTGCAAAGGGTTTACAGCTATGAATCTTTATGGGATTAGAAAAACCTTACCTTTCTCCTGTGGAATGGCTGAGAGTTTCAAACTGTTGACCTTGAGGTTAGCAGCCTGACTTGTAACCACTATGCTACCAGAGCTCCATATATATTGTTGTTAAATGCTTTCAAGTAGATATGTATATAAGCGTCACAGGTTTTGCTTTTCTAAAGAACCCAGCCTAAACTACATATCTAGCCTTATTTTCTATGGATTCTATGGGAGAAAGATCGGGCTTTCTGCTCCTACAAAGGTTTAAAAAGCCTCGGAAACCCTATACAGAGTTGCTATGGGTTGAAACCGACTCGATAGCACTTAACAGCAAGCTGGGAAGGCCTGTAACTGCCTCATCTATGAGAGTACAGTAGAAAAGATGCTCTGACTTCTGAAGTGAGGTCAGAAAAGGTGATCCAGCTACTGCCTCACCCTCTTTGGATGCCTGCCTTTGAGATCCAGCTACCAGGTTGTAAAGCAGCAGCAGCCCACACAGGTGCCCAGCTGTTGGCCCCACTGAACTAGCTCCCAGTGGAACCAGTCCTGACTTGCAGCCATGGGAGTAAGCCATCTTGGGCATGGGTTGTCTAACCCTCAGTCAAGTTATTTCAGCTGATGCCACATGATGCCAAGGATTCCTACTGAGTCTTGTCCAAACTGCAGATTTACAAGAAAACAAATATGATTATTAAGCCATTTAATTGTGGGGTTGTTATCTACCCTTCTCCTGGCCTGAGGAATTTCCCAGAATGTGGGACTTCTGAGTGCTAAATCCAGGACAGTCCTGTGCAAACTGAAATGACTGATCATTCTTCCCTTGGTTTAAAAGAAATATCATCTGCTGACCTCTCGAGTTCTGAATATAAAAGAAAATTTTTTTTGACATTAATGTCCTTTAGACAGGTGTTCATGTAGTTCTCCACATGAAATAAGCTGCTTTGGTAATATTTATTTCCTGGGTGAATTTCATTCCCACCCCCTCAATCTGGGAGAAACATGATTTAAGTAGGTAAGCCAAAAAATGACAATGTGTAGATGGCAGCCATCCACATGGCAGATTCTACCCCAGGGCCTTTGCACTGGGTTTCCTCTGCCTGAAATACTCTCAGCCCAGTTCTTTTCCTTTGAATGATTTTATTTACTTGGTTATTTGAGAATGAGGTGGCTCCATATGATAAGCACTGGATTGTGAACCACAAGGTCTGCAGTTCAAGCCTGCCTGATGCTCTTCAGGAAAAAGATGATGCTTTCTGCTCCCACAAAGATTGAAAGCCTCAGAAACTGGATACAGGGTTACTATGAGTCAGAATGTTGGTTATTTAATAACCTTGGTTATAAATAACACTTGGTTATTTAAGGCCTCATTCCACTCAAATGTAGCCTTCCAGGGACAGGAAGTAGGGAATTCTAACCATTCTGGTCTTGAACACTTGCCAGGTAAGTTAAAAGTTGGGAAGGTGCTTAGAGATTATCCAGACCTAAGTCTCACCACAGAAAGCATTTCCTTTGATAGTCCTGACAGATGGTCAGCTCTCTCGAATACTCAGGAAGGTGTTTAAACCTTCATGATGGAGATTTCCCTACCTCAAAGAGCATCTTATTCCATTCCATTTTTAAACAATGGCTCATTACAATATTAAGAACTGTTTGCCTATAACTGCTAATGATGGCTTTTCAGATCTTTCATCGTCCTGACTGCCTGCCTGCCTCCTGGCTCACCTGGTAATAAGACAAATCCCCAGTCCATTGTGGATCCATATGTCTTCATGCAAACAGAAACAGAATTGTAGTTCAGTACACGGAGGACCTCAATGCATCTTAAGACAATCTGAATTCATAAAAATGTAATTCATCAGGTGGTAAATGTATTTAACCCTAACATGATAGCACACCACCGTTCCAATCCAACTCTTAAGTGTATCTGCATACATCAGAATTGGGGTTCTGTCTCCCCTGAGCTTGTATCTTGCAACATCATAAAAGATCATCTCTGATGATGAACACCACTTGACTGTTGAGAATTGATTGGAAGTAGCTCGGCTCCACCAAGTTATTAGATTTCAGGGCAACCAGCAAGTTCCTGCCTTCTAGGTGGGGATGAGGACCACCATGAGCCCTGGGGAGCAACTTGGGGAATCTGGCGCATGTGGCCTCTTGTCCTGGCCCTGTATGTGGCCCTGTATGTCTGCAAAAGTATGTTGTCTCCAGGTGTGGCCTAAATCAGAAAAACAAGATGAAGCCTCAAAGGTCAACCCCATTGTGGTTATTGTTTGCATACCACAGATTTTTGTCTTGGACTGGCAGGAATCTTGACGCTGGTGCTGTTTTTCCTCTGTAGCTTAGGTGACAGTGGAGACAGCTGTGGACAAACACCTGTTTGCACACTAAGAAATCATGCTTTACCACAAGACCTTAATGATGGAGAAACCTTGGAGTGAAATCTAGAGCTTCCCAGGATGCACCCTCCTCCTGTGGTTTCTCTGAGGATCAGTCACTGTCTTTGTAGCTTTAATGAACCCCATGAACCAGTCACTGCCTTCCAAAAGGATCTGAGGGAAACTTTTCTGCCAAGTCCTGAGTCCTTGTGGCACTCAAGAACGTGGGCCAGGCTCTTGTGTAGGTTAAAGAAGTCCATGAAGAATAAAGATTATAGGAAAACAGCCTATCTTTCTTTACAAGACCTTGTTTTACATCCCTGAAATCTCAGATTTAGCTATTACAATGAAGTCCTGTTGTAGAGAGAGCTGGCCTTTTATCACCACTTAAAATCTAATTAATCCATATTGAAGCACAATGATTTCTGTTGTATTTTAGGGTGAGGGGTCATAGAGCCCTCTTTGTTCATCCTTAGGCTTATAATCATCAAGCTTTGGGGATATAATTTTACCAAGCAAATTTTACCAACAGATCAAATCCTTATCAGAAAGCCTAATTCATAGTTTTAACAGAGTTCTTCGTCCTTTACATGAAACACTATATTCAAGAAGAACAAAAACGCATTTCAGAGTACCCAAAGAGTTAACGGCCAAGCTTATATTCCAGGCAGCATAGAACGAAGGTCATCATACTACCTTCAGCCACAAAAGACGGCAGCTCCTATGGTCATAGAGGTGGCAAAAAGCTTTAAGCTTTGTTCCGATGGCTTTAGTCTTTAGACTAGCAATGCAACTGGTTGGACTTTTACTATCTTTGCTGGGATGGGTTTTATCCATTATTACAATTTATTTGCCACAATGGAAAAACCTCAATCTAGATTTGAATGAGATGGAGAACTGGACCAT